GTGACTCTTGCTTATTTTAATATGTGTATTATTTTGTACTTGTATGTTTCCCCTTCCTGTTTAAGTTGTTCGCCGCCCTGAGTCCCTTTTAGGGAATAGGGCGGCATATAAATAAAATAAAACTTAAACTTAAACAACTGCCCTTTCAACTTGACTAATTTTGACTGGACAAAAATGCTGTTTAATGTGTAATTTAATGTGTTGGGTTTAAAAAAAAAAAACACGAAATACATTTATTTTTCAAAATCAGGTATGGTTTCTCTTCAAATACAGTGTGTTGTACTAATACAATTCTGTTCTGATGTACTTGTTTTTGATATATTTCAGTGAACTATGATATTTCAACTGCAAAGAATCTATTACTATTAGCTAATTCTACAGAAGATCAGCAAAAATGGGTGAACCGCTTAGGAAAAAGAATTCCTAAAAAGCCTCCAGCACCAGATCCTTTTGCCCGATCTTCACCCAGAACTTCCATGAAGGTCCAGCCGAGCCAGTCTCTCAGGCGGCCAAGCAAACAGCTTCCACCAAATAAAAAAGAAAGCTTTCCCCCAAGGTAAAAAAATTACATCTACAAAATTGTGATCACTTTTTAGAACACTGTCTTGGGCTCTTGAGGGAGTCATGCCAAGTACTTCTTTGATGAGATGTATCCATCTGTGAAAGTCTTCTACTGCTGCCCCTATTTTCGGGGTATGTAATTACTCTCTTATAGCTGACTCCTATAGACTTGTGAATTTAGATCAGTGGTGGGATTTACTTCCCTACTGGTTCGCAAAGGAGAGCACGCACCGCCTTCTGCGCATGCGCAGAAGGTAGTGCATTATGTTTGGGGGGGCGGAGCCTCTCACCGCCACCGCTACTGGTTCACCCGAACCGGAGAGAAGTGGCTGAATACCACCTCTGATTTAGATCTTAAGAACCATGGATCCTTTGCTTCTCTTATCCAGCGTCTGAGGGAACGAAAAGTTATTGGATTATACAGCTCTTCTTTATAGGAAGATTATTTGATTTAGAAAGTGATATTTACATCTTAGAAAATTATGTAGAGTATAATACATTCCAGGTCTGCATTTTTTTTAAAAAATTAGCATATGGTATATATAGGGAGCCGAGGTGGCGCACTGTCCGAATTTGCAGCCAGCTCTGCTGTCCGCTAGTGGGCCACAACAATATTGGCAAAAAAAAGTAATCTAAAAAGTTTTTTTAAATGGCTAAGAGGACAGAATTCTTTTTTTTTCTATTTTTATTATGAAGTGAAAATGGATGAAGTAAGATAAGGAGAGAAGAAGAGAGAGTTTTGGTTTTTTTTTTTAACTCCGCTTACTTGGGACCGAGGTGGCACAGTGGTTAAATGCAGCACTGCAGGCCACTTCAGCTGACTGCTAGTTCAGCAGTTCAGCGGTTCAAATCTCACCGGCT